CCCCATATCATACTAATACACCACCAGCAAAAGTATAATGTGTATTAAGGATTAGCTAATCTTAAATACCATACACTATATTTTTAGGATGAATGCACTAAACACTCAGTGAAGTTGCATGTACATAAATGATCAAATATTCAGATGACAAAAATCTCACCAATGCTAAAGATGAATCGATGACATCTATCTCTGCATTTCCCACAGTGCTGATGACAGGGGCAGCATGGAGCTGTCCAGGTTCATCCTTGAGGTCATCTAGAAACTGAACGGTTCCACTTGTCTGAATAAAATAGACTTCATAAGGTTTCAAAATGATTTTTTTTTTTATGTCTATCATATAGTGCAGGGGTGGCCAAACTTGTGTAGCTAGGAGTCAGATTCAAGAGGTAACAGAGGTAAGTGGTGAAGCATCCCTTTTCGGGGTTTACCCCAATCATGGGAAATTAATATCAAGCATCAAGTTGAATTACTATTAATTTGATTAATAATTCATCATAATTTAACACAATAGAAAAGGGAAACAACTCTTTATTGTAATGAGATTTTTATCTCACCAAATACTCAGCATTTATTTTTGGAATGGGCTGTGAGACTGGATATTCTGATGGATCTGTCCCGTAATCCTGTGTGCCAACAACTGGTGTTCTAGTAAGGCCGGTCCCTCCACTGATGTAACGAGAGTCAGCTTTGCTTCGGCAAACATTCAAAACAAACTGCAATGTTATATAATTTATATTACAGTTAACTCAAAGTAAATAAATCAATGAAGATAGGTTAATTTTAAAGTTGTTTTTTTTCAAATAATAACACCATCAAGTCTTAAAAGGCTTATTACAAGTCATCTTTAAAAAAAATTGAGTCACAGCAAAAAAATTTTAGTTTACAGAATGACTGTAGATTACTTTTAGCCTAACATGCATTTTTTTATAATTTAAAAAGGAGGAAGTAACAGCCCCTATAAATCAAACACCTTGTAGAACAATCCCAAAGCCAGGGATCTTCTGTACGTAGCACTAGCCCAACCTGGCAGAGTCTCAGGGATAAGTTCGGATGTCATAATTGTCAAGGCATCTAAAATAAAAATAAAATATGGGCACATTCTACCACTGTATACAGCTGCCATACATAAGTGAAATGAGTGAATGTGCAAAAAACTTGTAGCATATTCTCTGCTCAAGCAAGAGGCACGTCTTACCACTGTATATAGCTGCCATACATAAGTGATTTATACTAAAGCTGTGCACAGCTATTGTTTACAGTTGATTTATTGCAGCAGCAATTTATAGGTGATTTTTTTAAACTATTAATTGTGAGTAATTTCTTTTTTAATTGTAACTTAAAGTTTTAAATAGTAGAGCTTTATATTTTTACTTAAATTCCTTCAAAACAGGAGTAAACAAATTATAATAAATACTTTTATCAATGTTAAGGAAAAATTTTTAGCAAAATTATTTTGTTACAGCCCATATTACTAACTATTAATACGAAGAGAAACCAGTAATTTTGTGTTTTGTAGGAATATTTTAAAAAGCATCTTACTTTTTAGCACATTGGGATCCCCCAACTGTTTGTTGACTAGGTAAGATTCTGTCTGAACTGCATGGGTCTGCAACAATTTTAAAATGGGTTTTAATATTATATGAAATAAGATTCTATAATTGTATGTTTGGGTTCATTCTTAAATGTTGTCATGCTTCCAGGTGGGGGGCCTCATGAATTTATGATGATGCATTATGAGTTTGTCTAAATTTTAAGATAATTTTTTTTATGATGGGCGAGGAGGGTGAGGTCGTAAAAAATCAGTTAAATAGCATGACATTTTTTTTATTGGTGGCCTTTTTGTCCCACATTAATTACCCCACCCATTTTACGCATTTGATGGCAGGACAAGGTGCCTAACAAAGAGGTCTTGGAATGTGCAAAAAACGTGTAGCATATTCTCTGCTCAAGCAAGAGGCACCTTCGCTGGTTAGGCCAAGTAAGGAGAATGAAGGAAGGCCATATTCCAAAGGATCTGCTGTATGGAGAGTTGGCATATGGGGCAAGGCTTATTGGGCGGTCACGGCTGGGATTTAAGGATGTTACAAAAGGAGCATGAGGGAAGTCAACATAGAAATCAATGAATGGGAGATTATTGATGACCACCACTCCAATTGGCGAACAGCAGTCCACCCACAAAAAGATGCTTATAAGAGATTTTTGTGAGAATAAGTTTCTGGACTTGATAATCAGCAGAGAATCAAATAAAAATTAAGAAAGTAGAAAAATGAAGAAAAAAAACTGAAGAAGTATTTTCTTAAATTACCAGCTGGGAGCTGATTCCTTGAATGACAAGAGACGGTTTGCTCTTGACCAGGAAATTTTGACTTGTGTCCACATCAACCAAGAAACCAGCACTGACATAACCTTGACTTGCCTGTTACAATGTAATTTGATAAAAAAATTCAGTCAAAAAGCATTCAAATTCAGTGGTGAATTTCGCATGCAGCATTTGGCCAAAAGGTCAATAAAAATATGTACAGTCTTTTTATAAGCTTATCATTCCTGTAAATTACAAAAGTTTTGTTTAAAAAAAATTTGGTAAAAAGACTAGCATGGGTTCTATAAAATATTTATAAAATGACATTGAAGTAGTATATTAATTTAACTTAACAATATTAAATGATGGATATAAAGAAATTCTGAATTAAAAGCATTTTAAAGAATTCAAAAAGCTTTACGAATCAACCTGCAACCGTGGTGATGGCTTGTATGTCTCTACACGAACTCCACTAGACGTGAATTTGGGAAGAATGGCTGCGGTGATGACCTTGCCTTTAACATCAAGTCCAAGGAAATCCTGAAGAGTGTATTGGTTTTGAGTTCCATCACCATCATCTGAAAAACATTACATTTTTTTAACAATTTAGGTAAGTTTTAGGTACCATTAATCCCATTGTAAATAACAAGCTTTGATTTTCGGGATAAGACTTTAAATAATTCCAAGTCTAATTATTTATTTTAAACCTTTTGCACAGTTGTAAGTAAAGAAAATAATGTGCATTTACATTTCTCTAATAATGATTAAAAATTCAAGGTAACACAAATTATAGAAACTCAACTATGTCAAATGATTTTTGTAGATGTCACAATTTGTGAACGAGGCAGAAGCGTGTAACACAGGTATTGATTAAACAGGTCAGAATATTTTATCAGTCAATTTGTGAACGGGCCAGAAGCGTGTAACACAGGTATTGATTAAACAGGTCAGGATATTTTATCAGTCAATTTGTGAACGGGGCAGATGTGTGTAACACAGGTATTGATTAAACAGGTCAGGATATTTTATCAGTCAATTTGTGAATGGGGCAGATGCGTGTAACACAGGTATTGATTAAACAGGTCAGGATATTTTATCAGTCAATTTGTGAACGGGGCAGAAGCGTGTAACACAGGTATTGATTAAACAGGTCAAGATATTTTATCAGTTCTGATGTTCATTGCCTCTAAGACTTGCCAGTTTGACTTACAGACAACAAGTTTGGCTCCAACTGTCTCAAAAAGTGTGAACACATCAGCAGGAAACTCTGGGTGGGCGTGTTTAAGGGCAAGGTTACCAGCCCAGCAGGCCATCTGAGGAAGTGGATAAAGGGGGACAATATTGCTAAGCAATTTGAGAGGAAAAATTATCCTCCCAAGATTGATTTGCAATTGCTTTAATAATATAATTTAATCAAACAGAAAACATTTCTTTTTTAAAGTTCAGATTTTGTCAGAGTGAGGACTTCATGTACCAAAGATTTTTACAAAATGGCAAGGCTGTCTCTAAATACTCAACTCACATTTCTGATTCCATGCTGTGCAACATATTGGAGATGTTGTGCAAAGCTTGCAGCATAAGGGACAGAGAAGTCAGTAACCAGTGAAGAAAATAGTTCCTGCAGGTTGCTCAATGATAAGTTGGCCCCCAGCACGAGGTTGGCATTGTTCTGTAACAAGTGTATAGTTACTGAGAAAACATGCAAAATATATGTTTGAGAAATACTGATGTGAAACATTTCAAGGTTTGAGTATTTGAACTAAGCAAAACAAACAAGGCTGCTGCAGCTAATTACTGGAATTATTTTACATCTGATAGAAGTGTTGTAAAAATTAGTTTAAGTTGATTTCATCTTGAATACCTTTCCGCCCCCACCCCCTGCTTCACTTTTCCCTATCTCAGAAAAAAGATTATAAAAAATAAAAAGTATTTCAAACAAAATTACCAAAGCCAAAATTTCATGTTAACCACTGAAAATATAAGTCTTTCTTATCCATATTAACATACTTTTTCCTATCCAAATTGACATAATTCTAACAGAGCTAGCATAAAATAATTATTTTTTCCTATCATTGCAACACTGCATTTTTAATCCAAACAAGAACAATTATTTTTTAAACTCTCATAGCTTCCATCATGCATAATAACTATATTCAAAAGTGGAAAGGAACCCTATTTTGGAAAAGGAATGTTAAAAAGAGTTCACATAAATATAAATTAAATGTTTGTTTTAATTTTTTTTTTAAATAAGTATTGGATGATGAGAGAATGAAATAAGCAACGACACTGTGACTTACTGCATAGGCTCTCCATGAAATTAGCAACAACACATCACATCAGTCAAACATAGGAAGAGACTGAGTGCCCCAAGTAGATTTCTAGGTTAGATTTCATATTTAAAATGAGCATATTTCAATAAACAGTTCCCGGCCGAGGCCCCTGGACCCCTCTTTAACTGGAGGGTATCCCCCCCCCCCACAAATAAAACAACAACAAAACAACCGTCCTTGAAAGTCCCGTTTTTTTCCGAATCATGATTTGGTCACCCTAGTTTATGCTGATCCATTTTAAATTAATGTTTTTTTCTGTGTCTGACATCGACTTAGAACAAGGAAATCAAAGCCCTCAAAATGTCTGCTGAATCCCAGTATTTAGCTGGAGCATGAGGACTTACTCTATAGCAGCAATTATAATGACTAACCTGAATCGTGTACAGTTCTTTGATTCCCCTTATGTCAATTAGTATATCAAAGTTCCATGGCCCAAATTCCTGATATACTCCTGAAATTGGCCATTAAGATAACATTGACAGATCTGGACTCAAAAGATCAACATGACCAAAGCAGACATTTGAATCCAAAGATAATAAAAGTAAAATAAAAAAAAATACAGTTAAGGTGAATTATCTCTATGACGTATTGATAAAGTTTATATTGGTTATCAGACAACACAAATGTGTGTTATCATTAAGCACGGTTTGGTACTTGAGTCCAGGAAATAATTCTAGTAAAAACATCAACATAAAATGGTTGCCAAATCATGAAGTTAAAAATAGGAGGCAACAAATTAAAACATTAATGAGAAATCAGACAACTAAAAGGATTAATAACTACTCTAGAAAATATGCAGGCTCTCCGCTAGGGAGGGTAAAAAACTTGACCCTGTCAACACCAACGGAATCACCCTATAGACAGAGGAAGCATGTCTCGGATTTTTTTTCTCAAGCATCAGTTAGGAAAAGATTACTAATCTGAATGATACTTGACAACAAATTACAAATAAAAAAAAAAAGTAATTAATAAATGTAAACAAAAAAATTAGCGAGAACTAAAGAAATCATATCAAAAATTTCTCACCGAATCCAGTGTTTCCAAAGACCAGCCTGTAGTTCTCTGTCCGATGCTGTCCCAGGAGTTGCACCAGTTCTTGGACGGTCGTAGGCTTAAACCACTGAGCACCATAACCTACTATGTGCAGTGGTCGCGGGATCTGGTTCTCACAGGCACCACCATTTTTGTTTTTTCCACTGCAGTGACCAGTGCAGCCTTGGCCAGTTTTTTTGCACAGTTTTGCTTCCAAATCCTAACAAATTTTATTATGGGGACAAGGCAAAAAAAAAAGAATTTGATAATGACCTTTATTCAAACCAGTAAATTGCAAGGCTTAACACAGATGAAAAGATTTTTTTTTAAATAACCATGGACATAGTTAACTAAAATATCTATTAAATATCTAAGATAACATTCTCGGTGCTGTACGGCAAATTTTATTTAAGGCAAAGTGTATTAATTTGCAGGCAACTAAGTTAAGCTAGAGCGTCAATACATATATAACTTTATCAAACTTATTTTACAGGTTAGCTAAAGCCAGAAATGTAATTTACCTGAATTTCAATCTTATATACCTGAATTTCAATCTTATATACCTGAATTTCAATCTTATTTACATGAATATCAATTTTATACACCAGAATTTCAATCTTATATAGGCTACCTCAATATCAATCTCATGTACCTCAATATCAATCAAGCTTCCATTCAGTTCTTTTGGTGCATCAACAGCAAAAGATTTCATGGCATCTAAAATGACTCTGTAGCCTAGGATGTTGAAAGTATTGGTCATTTTGTAATATTTCACACCTTGCATTAGGCTTTTAACAGGGACAAGCTAATATCTAATATGATAATTTACTTTTGTTTTTAAATATGGTCTCTAAATGTCAGTAACAAAACATTTATTACAATTTTATAAGTTCATAAAATAATTTTATTAGTTCACATTCCTGTCTTCAGTCCCGCAGATACTTAATTCTTAACTGTACATCTGCAAATACTTAATGTTTACCTGTACCTCTGCAAAAACTAAATGTTTACCTGTACATCTGCAGAGTGTGGCATCAAACTCATCTTCAATTTGTTGGACTGTGGGTTGGGGAAATCTCTGAAGGAGCCTGAGGGATAAAATATCCCATCATTCAAAGTTTCTGCTTTATTTTCTGTGATTACCCCTGTATTTTATATTACCTAATGTCAAATGCAGAGTTATTCCCTTTCAAATAAATTAGCATAATGGATGATCAATGAAACTTTTAATCTTATCAAAGGAAGAGTTCTGTTTGACTGAACTGATTATTTATTTATTTATTTAGGCATTTTTTATATAGCGCTTACCTTAAAGCTCTAAGCGCTTTACAATTATTAAAAACATGTAAACTAAGTAAAATAAAAATGAGACACTAGGATAGTAACTACTATACTATAGAAACAATTAAAATGGCTATAAAACGAAGACACTTTGGCACGTTTTGGCCTATACTACACGAACAGAAAATGAGAAAATTAGAAATCATGTAGACAGCAATAAAAAAAAATATTTTAAAAATTTCATAGCTGTTGGCTGTGTTGAAGTATAAAACCCAAGGGAATTTAATTTTAAATATGGCTCAGACAAAAATGATTACTTTTGAGCATAAAGAGTACTCCCCCTGTTGCTAGCATCATATTAAGATATCAGGATTTTTTTATTGTTTATTTATACAATTTTTATAGATAAAATTCATTTCTCTGTGACTTATCTATACATATTCATGACTCACCCATACATATTCATGTGACTCACCCTTACATATTCATGACTTACCCATACATATTCATGATTTGCCCTGGGGTACAAAAGCCACACTGTGCCCCGTCTCGTTTTGCCATCCTGTCTTGGATAGGATGAAGACCTGCTTTAGGATTGCCAAGCCCCTCAATTGTTGTAATTTCAAGCCCATCGCAAGTGTAGAGTTGTAAGCAGCACTGTTGAATATTTTGATTTGTTTTAGATTACATTATTTTAAGAAAAGAAAATTCCAACCTAGCTAAGCATAACATTAAAATTAACTAACTATTATTTTTTAACTTCATTTTTAATTAAACCAATCAATAATACAAAAACGTTCAACCAATTTTTCTTTTACTTTTATTGTCTTATTGTAGCATACATTATATAATATCTGGAACTTGACAGTTTTTATTTTTGTAAAAGAACCAGATCTGGATGTAGTCAGATGTATGAGTCATGAAAAGTTTATCCTCACAAAGTCTCAAATTTTCTAATTGTCATAGTAAGTAAAAAACTTACAGAGTTGACAGCATATGCTGCGGTCTGGCCAGAAAAAGGTTCAAAGAGTTTGACAGTGACAAGACAAACTCCACATCCTCCTTCATAACAGCAGCCTTTAGTTCCTCTAGATATGCCAACTTGGCGCATGTATTCATTGAGAGATGTTGCTGGATCAAATTCATTGCCAACTGGAAATAATAGAAGTTTTCATAAGTTAGTTATTAACATTGAACCTTACACACTAAGAAGGAAATCAAATCTTTTTCTCTCTCTGCATACAGTTTTCTGAAAGTATCTGAAATATGTAACATGGAAATTATGGTAACACATCATGTGCCATGTATATCTTCAAGTCATAGTAGGTCATATGCAATGGCAATGTATATCTTCAAGTCATGGTAGGTCATGTGCAAAGTATATCTTCAAGTCATGGTAGGTCTCGTAGATACATCTGTGTTTTGGTGTCATGTGCCCAGGGTTTCTTTCAGGCATACCTCGGGGGGGGGGGGGGGGGGGGCCAAGGGCGCCCCCTCCCCGGCAAAATCTGTAAAACAATAAAAGATTTTTTTTTTAAATTAAAAAACTACAAAATAGCCCTTTTAAAACACTTTTAGTATCTTGAGCCTTTAACCGATTACAATTGGTTGAATCTATGAAATATCGCTACTCTCGATATATTTGATGATCTGTATATTTAATTATAATCTTGTTAAAGGCGAATAAATTCGATTAGAAATATCGCAATGGCCACTCCAGATTATGAGCCAAGGCTTTCGATAAGTCAATGTCTTACTTCTTCTAGTTCGCATAATTCATAATAAATCGGTATTTTTATTCACTTTTTTTTTTTTTGGGGGGGGGGGGGGGTTAATTTTACAAGTTATAAGTTTTTAATAACACTGTTTTTAATATATATATATCAATATAAAGGTCCAAAATTTTAATAATAGTTCTTGCTAAGTATCAAACATGTGAAGTCTATTTATCAAATTATATTTCATCATAAAGCATGACTTTTGATTTAGGTATAGGCGTTAATTATAAAATGTATGATGTCATTAGCCTCTTAAAAATAAATAAATTTAATCGATTCCATGTGTGTATATAATATTGGAATTTTTTTTTAAAAATTAGATTTTTTTTTTTAAAATTAAGAATTTAACGGGGGCATACAAAAAGGGTACATTTCATCAATTATTATATCGAAAGTGTTTGTTTGTTTTTTTACTAAGCTACTCAGTGGCGTAACAACGGCTTGGCTTTGGGGCAGTTCCAAGGGCGCCGGCCTGCGCCAGTTCAAAAGGGCGCCGCTAAATCTCTAATTTTTTAAATTTTTATTGAAACAAAGGGGCGCAAAAAATAAATTAGCCAAGGGCGTCAAAAACCAAGTTACGCTCCTGAAGCTACTTTTGACTTTTGTAACAAAGTTTCCTGCATAGCAGAGGTAAAAAAAAAATGCAGCCTTTATTTATTATAAGGGCCGGCGCTAGACATTTTAAGATTGGGTGAAAATAGGCAGTTGTCGCCTTCTGGAAAATTATGGGAAGAGTTCAGATATATATATATAATTATTATTATTATTTTATTATTATTTTATTTTTATTCAAATTCAATACAAAAAAGGCCTTTGGCGGTTTTGGCGCGTTGGGGTCTGTGTGATGATCACGCTTAAAAAAAAAAAAAAAAAAAAAGAAAGATTTTTGTGAATTAGCATTGCGATCGTCAATTCTATTAAAAAATCTGTTGGCACTAGTTTTAGAAAAAATTCTTATTGCCAATTTGTTCAATTTAAAAACAAATTTTGTGGATTTGGTCCCCAAAAAAAACAACTGTTTTAAAGTATATCTGAGAGGCAATTTCAATTTGTAATTTATCTGAAAAAAAAGTTATAGTATTTTTAAATTACAAATAAACACTTCAATCAACTGAATATTGGGGAAATATATACTTCATTTGCCTACGATTTCCTTTAGATAAAAGCACACATTAATAAATAGGCCTATATGATGTCTTTTGTAAATATCTTATGTCTCATATTAATGTCGTTCATAAACGATTTATACAAATGTCCAGTTTTCAAAACCAATAAAGATGTTTAGACCTTTCCAATTAACATGTTTTTGTTTGTTTTCTTTTTGACTCTGGTAAAATTTGGAAATATTTACAAAAGGGTCGTCTAATGATTATCATTTGCGTTCAGCATATCCAAATAATGTTTGCAGTGCTTTTTAGTGATGGAACCCTTTTTAATTTTCTTTCTTTTTTTTTTTTTTTTTTTTTTTTTTTTTTATTTTTTTTTTTTTTATTTTGTTTT